GGGATGGATCCAGTGTTGAGGGAAGAGATGACCACTTTCTCCCCTACTCCAGTCCTGCCAGTGGTGGTTGGAGGTGTCCTCCTGGAGGGGGTGGGCTGTGGGTGTGGACCAGTCATCTTGAGAGTCCAAATGGAAGACTTTGACCTCAAACGGGCACTGACCTTTGGTGTTCGGAGTGTCCATGGCTCACTTGTGCTGATGAGTAGGAAATATGAGCTGAGCTTCAGCCCTTGATTCTCCTACTCACCGACTGGCTTCCAGCCAAGAGGCTGTGAGCCCCACCCTGTGTCTACAATCTTTGCCTCTGGGACAGAGATGTCAATACCTGGGCACACGTGAGTGTGACTCCAGGCGTACAAGTCACAGCAGGCACGTGTATGGACATGGTTATCAATGTCAGCCTGAAATAGCAGATTTGTTCACCCCTACGTATGTATGTGTGTGTGTGTGTGTGTATGAGTGTGTTTATGGGAGGCCACTGAGTGCTGGAAAAAGAATTTAGAATCCAGAGAAGTGGATTCAAGCCCCATCTCTCCCTGCTTCTGGGATGTGAGACCCTGGGCAAATCTCTTCATTGCCAGAGCCTCAACCTCCCACTGCCAGCCTGGCTCATTGCCAGGCTGGGGCCAAGCTGGATTGAGATCTTGTGGATGGAGGGTGTGCTGGGTGCCCTGTGGCTGGTAAGGTGATTGTGTTTGTATATTTGTTCCAGAAACACTGAGAGCCTCCCAGGCAGTGTGGACACAACAGAACCCAGGCAGACTTGGGTCCTTTCTCCGGGACTTGGATCGAGACGGGGAGGGCAGAGGGCAAATGGATACCCAGAGAATGATGCCCTGTATTTACACTTGGGGGCACAGGAGGGAAATTTTAGGGTGTTATGAGTTCTCATAGGTTGACGGTACGAGAGTGTGTTTCTGGGTCACTGGAGTGTCTTAGCCCGTTTGGGCTGCCATCATAAACTCTCATAGACTGGGCGGCTTAGAAACAACAGGGATTTGTTTCTCAAGGTTCTGGAGGCTGAAGTCTAAGACTCAGGTGCCCACAGATTCGGAGTCTGGTGAGGGTTTCCTGGTCCCGAGACCAGGTCTCTCTGTGTGCCCACATGGTGGAAGGGGTGAGGGAGCACTTTGGGGTCTCTTGGATAAGGGCATTAGTCTCTTTCATTCAGGCTCTGCTCAAATGACTTAATTACCCCAGAGGTCCCCACTTGTAATACCATCCCACTGGGGATTACGTTTCAACATATGAATCTGAGCGGGATGCAAACCTCTAGTCTATAGCAATGAGAGTCTGTGGATGTGACCCTGGGTCCACACCGCTCTCCCTCGGAGTGGCCAGCTGTTTGTTGTATCGTTTGTGGTCCAGGAGTGGAGAAGGCGAGCAGTTAAACTCCCTCTAGGAAGTGGTGTTAGAGCTGTTACAGAGAAGCTTGGCAGGTGCGTGAATTAGAGAATGATATATAGATGAGGTCAGCATATAATTTAGAAAATAAACCCCAAATGGCAGCACGCTTGTGAAAAATTGGCCAATTTCCCTCTCTGCAATAACTCAAGGTCAGCTCTGTGCACTTTCTCTGGTGTCTTGCTGCTGTTGTTTTTAAATACGTCCACTGGTACATGTCAGAAGTCCTGCGATCGGCAGATCATTGGGGTGTTACGGGCATTTCTGAGCAGACTAGGAACTTGCTCTGAAATCCACTTTCTGTCAAGGCGATCAACAAGTTCACAAGAGCAGCTGGGTTTTCATGCAGCCAAGGTCTGCGGCTGTCTCAGGGTTACCATCTGGAGGCTTGACCTGGACGGGGTGGAATTCCCCGACGGGCAGGCAGAACTTAGATGATGTCCCAGGCAAAGCAGGGACACAGGACAACAAAAAAAAAAAAAAGAGGAAGGAGAAAGAAAGATTTGCTTTGATGAATTCTGGATAGGCAGAATTTTATAATTAGAAAGTCTGGAAAGATTTAATTTCAGCACACACAGAATCTGTGTGCGTGTGTATGGTGTGGGTAGTGTGTGTGTGTTGGGGCGGGGGGCTGGTTAATATTAAAACACAATCTTCTCAGGCAGGGCTTAGAGACTTTAAAAGTCTGAGGACACATCTGCCCCACAGATCTTCCAGGGTGTCTCCTTGGAGGAGGGTAGGCTTTTTTTAAAAAATGTTTCTCTATCTGGCTACACCCTGGAGTTCTCTTCCCACGGGAACATTCTTGGAATGCCAAGGTCATGCTCCCCACCCCTCCTCACCCTGCCTCTGGGGCCCCTGCAGCTGCTAGTCCTCTCGGCCTCCCTCCCCTTCCTCTGGGCTCGGGGCACTGTTGTTTCAGGAAAGCAGTGGCCAAATCAAGGCAGTTTTCTTGAAAACCCTGCACGAAGGAAAACCACTGCCAAGTGGAATTGTCCTGATGCTCTGATGAGAAGTAGCAGAGTGTCCTTGGAATGCAATCGGGGAACACTGCCACCATCAGCAATGGGGGAAACTGTTTCCATAGCAACAACAGGTTTTTCCAGTGATAACTGCGCCTCTTTTCTCATTAGTTGGAGAAAGATGCCATGCCCTCTGTGTGGAAGACCCCCTTGAGCCGAGCTAGCGCAGGAAGCCAAGGGGCTGGTTTGGTGGTTCTGTTATTGAGCAGCTTCTCTGCCAACCTCATCTAATTTGCCTGATCACAGGAACATACGGAGCAAGCAGAGAGAACCCTGACATCATTAAGTGAATATCTCTTTTTTTCCCCCCCTTTTTCTTTTTGGCCAGCAGCTTGTGGGACCTCAGCTCCCCCACCAGGGATGAAACCCAGATGTAACCTCAGCAGTGAAAGCGAATCCTAACCCCTGGACTGCCAGGGAAATCCCTCAAGGAATATTTCTGGCTCAGTTGACTTTGATCTTAACATCAAATAGAACTTCAACCTCAAGTTATCTTCTCTTTAAACCATATGCTACTAAAGAAAGAGTAGGGACTTCCCTGGCAGTCCAGTAGTTTAGACTCCGCCTTTCCAGTCCTGGGGGTGGAAAGTTCGATCCCTGGTAGGAGAACTAAGATCTCTCATGCCACAGAGCACAGGCAAAAAAATAACACTAAAATTAAAAAATAACTAAACAAATAAAGAGTGAGAGTAGCTGTCAGGGGAATAGAGCGTTATTGCCCTCACCGTGTACACCCCTACTCCCACCCATGTGAGGGCACAAGCTGCATTTCATTCCCTAGCACTGAGCAAACTTCCTGGTACATAGTAGGTGCCTGTTAAAGGTTTGCTGAAATAAATTAATGAGAAGAAAGCAAAATATTTTCTTCTATGATTTCTTTTCTTATCCCACATAATGCCACATTTTGGAAACGTAACTGTAAGGCAGCTTCTGAGGCTTTCAAGAACATTAGACAACTTTCAGATAAGATAACATTGCTAAAAGTTTTCATGTAACTCTATTGCTTCTTTAAGGAACCTTGGGCAACAAATAAATCCTTCCAAATTGCCTGCTTCCTCACTTCACTTCCTCCAAGACTGCAAGGGTGTGGATGCCTTGCCAGGTGGTACCCACTGGCTTCTGGCCATCCTCCCTACCCTTCCTCCTGAAACTCATGTTTGAAGGAAGAAAAGCATCCTTGACTGTTAACTCTCACCTTCAAGTCCCTCTGTATTTCCCTGTCCTTTTCTTCCCTGTCTTTATGTATCTTCCTCACATTCACAAGGATGCCTGCACATCTGAAATTGCAATTACAGGTTCTCATTTTTGTCTCTAAGCTGGACATAGTAGTAGAATACATTTTAAAGTAACGAATCAGTTGGTAAACACAGAAGATATAATGTAGATACATTAATACTTAATTCACTAATAATAGTAAATGCATGATGAAGCCGTATTACAAATTAGAGTAGGCAACCCATAAACCTAAACTCCATAGGAATCTCTGGGAACTCAGGACTGAGATTCTAAACCATATTTCATTTTTCTCTTAACTTCCACCAAAGGGCAAAGGGTTTCTGAACAACTTCAGAAAAATTGGAAAGCCTCAGGAGTTTCAGATTAAAGACACACCAATCAAGTGCACTGCCCACACCCGAGCCTGGTTAAAACGCTGCCCAGAAAGAGGAGGTGGTTTTTTCTTTTCCATGAGCAGTTGCTTCATTTTGGACGGAGAATGCTTTAAGATGGAACGGTCCGAATTCATTTATTGTATGTTAACTACACACCCATAGGTATTGTTCAGTTTACTAAGTGCTCATTATACATTTATTCCTTTGTTTAATAAGTACTTATTGTGTGCCAGTGATGTGCCAGGCATCTTCGTAGGTACTCAGGAAACAAGACCTAGCAAAACAGACAAGGGGGGAGGCAGAGAGGCTCAGGCAACAAACCGCTAAACACGTGAAGATGTAATCTTGCCAATAAGAGGGCCCCTGTGGGAAGGTAGAGCTTCTCTGGTGGCTCAGAAAGTAAAGAATCTGTCTGCAATGAGGGATACCCGGGTTTGATCCCTGGGTTGGGAAGATCCTCTGGAGAAGAGAATGGCAATTAAGTATTCTTGCCTGGAAAATCCCATGGACAGAGGAGCCTGGTGGGCTACGGTCCATGGAGTTACGAAGAGGTGGACACAACTGAGTGACTGAACACACACACACACACCAGTGGTTAGGACATGGCACTTTCACTACTGTGGGCATAGGTTCAATCCCTGGTCAGGGAACGAAAATGACCAAACTCAATCTCAGTGGACTACAGTCAATGTGTTGGCAGGGTGTTCCTCCTGGAGGTTCTAGGGGTCTAGCTGTGAGATCTGGGGCATGACCTCCTGGGGATCGGTTTCCTCCTCTGGGACACGGGACAAGGATACCCGTCCCTCCCAGGGATGCTGAGGAGTTTAAACGAGACAATGGCTTTGAGAGTTGATAGTACTCACATGACGGGTAGGTTGGATGGGCACACGGGTCAGCACCACTAGTCCACCTCGCAGTCTCCAAGGCCTCTTCTAAGGGAGCTGTCTGTTTTGGTTGTAGCGCAATGGAGCCTCCACGGGGCCCGAGGAAGCCTCTGTCCTGGAGGAGAGCCAAGTCTCTGGACAGGCTACAGAACGCCCAGAAGGATTCAGAGTCGTGGGACTGCCAGGGCCCTTCCCCGCCCACTGGCCCCTTCAGGGAAGGTCTTTGTCGGGCGGCCAGTGATGGGACCAGATGTCTCAAGAGTCCAGTTCAGTCTGCGGAGGTTCAGGACACCACGGCTGCTGCCCCCAGCCCAGAGGAGACCAAGGACCTTCTCAGCGAGCAGAGGCCTCTGCAGGATGCCAAGAAGGACAAGGCCCAGTGGCAGGCCCCGCAGGGGTGGCTGAGGTTTGTGGTGAACTTATTCTTCAGGACAGGCCCTGAGGAGCCCAAGGAAAAGACCAACAAGAAGGCAAAGGGGAAGGAGGGGTCCCCCGAGCCCGCAGAAACCCCCGAGAGCCCGGGCGAGCCAGCTCCCAGGAAGAAGCCCCACAGCAAGAAGGCCAGCCGCAAGAAACACAGTCAAAGGAAACACGGCGCGGAGGAGGCCAAAGGGGCCCGAGATCAGGAGGCCGAAGGCCAAGAGGCCAAGGCGGCTGAGGCCTCACGTGGTGAGGGGGCTGACCTGGGCCCAGGAGCCAGGGGTGAGCAGACTGTGCCTGTTCTATGGTAACCCCACCCCCACCCCTACCCCAAGCGCTGGGGTGCTCTGAGCTGCTTCCTCAAACCTCTCAACAGAAAGGGACCCCGAAGGTAGGGCTGCCATCAGGAGCAGCATTGCTTCTTAGAGGCAGAGCCGCATGGCGGCTGAGAACTGGAGGTGAAACCCCAGCTCCACCACTCACTGGCTGGGTGACCTGGGGCTGGAGACTTGCCTCACTGGGCCCCAATTTTGTTTTTTTTCCCCACTGATACAATGGAGACTATAACAGGTAGCTGTAGTCCAGAACTGGCATAGAGCAAGGGCTTCATAAGTAGCAGATGCTCTTATTGTTAAGTACTCAGGGTGGAGGAGCACAGCCAGGGAGAAATATGAAGGCAGAGGGGAGGCTGAGCGGGAAGCTCTATCCCCCAACATTAATCTATGTGTGAGGACTGGGGTAGGTGACAGGGAAGTAGAAACAGCTGTCTGCTGGTTCTGGACTTGATTCCATCAAGTTTGGAATAAGTTTGCTGTGTGACCTTGAGCAAGTTGCTATCCCTCTCTGATATCTCTTTGATTCTCATTTGTAAAATGAGTGAGCTGGTCCCTAAGGTGCCTTCCTTTTCTGATGTTTCGTGTCCTAGAGTTGAATGTCCCACAGGCAGCTGGAGGAAGATGGAAATTTGCCCTACAGGACTCAAAACTCACCATGTTTTTCATGGGGAGAAGAGATCCAAGGAAGATCCAGGATACTCAGGGGTGGAGGAGTGGAGAAAGATGTCTGGGCTGAGGCAGCCTCTTTTCAGATGGAAACCTTGGAAGGTTTCTGATTTTTTTGGTTAAGCTTAGAGCTGGCTCCAGCAGCGCCTGGCCTGCTGTGAATTCCATGCACTGTGTTGATTAACAAAGTCAGAAGAATGTCACTGACACCCACACACAGTCCCACACTTAATTTCATCTTTATTATAGGTGGAGAAGACTCTGATCTCCACCAGTTCTTGCTCCCTGAAGGTGGGGGTACTGGAGTCTGGAAAGTTTCTTTCCAAGCCATAGGTCATCAGCAGGAAGAGCAGCTCAGAAAGCTCGATATTGCTGTTAGCTAACAAAATGGATTGTTCCAGATGACTGCGTGGACCTTGGATGTTTAGACCTCACAAAATGCATGTGCTGACCTTGGCTCTTCTGGTGCTTCTGGTCCATTTATGTTAGAGTTTCACAGAAGGGGGTCTCAGGAATTAGACTGGCCTCTGGAAAATGCTTAGGTGTTAATTAGCATGGGACATTTTTAAGTCATTTAAAATTTATAGAAGGAATACACACACACACACACACACACACACACACACACATATATATATAAACACCCACATATATATACATAAATATTTAAGTATATAGAAGAGTGGAAAGAACAGTTCTGTGCACACTCACATACTTACAATTGTTAATAGTTCGTCATCCTTGCTTCATTGTTGCTAAACCTCTTTAAACCCTTTAACCCCTTTAAAATGATGCTTCATCCTTAAATACTTAGACACACATCTGCAAGAAATAAGGACAGTCTCATACACAACTCCAGTCTTGTTATTGCCCTTAATAAAATCCATAAGGCTGTATGAATCTAATTTCCTACCAAGAATGGGCATATTTTAAAAGATATGAAAATGGAGGAGCTATGCATCTGTCAAGGAGTAGCTAAAAGGCATTTAATTGTTATTTTGCAGGAAATTTGCAGGATGATTGCTCTCTCACGTGAGAGGGAGTTGGCTGGTAGATTGAGTCAAGGAACAAAAGCCTAACAGGGTTTATAAATGAGAGGGAAGGGGTAAGAACCTCTGCAGACAGTCTGGGAAGAGGGAATCTTGTCTGCACCTTCTTTTGTGTAAACTGATAGGCTGGCAACTAGCAGAGGCCACTCTGGGCACACTGTCTTTGGGTAGGTTGACTGGAATATCAAAAGAAAACCATTTACATCGTTTGGACTTCTGTGTAAAGACTTGGCAGTGTGGTTGGGGCACCAACGTGGCAGGCTATCTGTGTCCTGCCTGCTGGAGTGCCTCTGTCCACCTCAGATAGGCTGGCACTCCACCATTTCCCTGGCTGAAATTTTGTAGGTCGAATCATCTCTAACCTTGTAAGGTACTTCCAAACGCAGCCTCCTCTGATGGCCTGACAGCCTTCTGAGGGATTCAGGATGGGACTTACGATCCATGTGTCACAGAGGAAGTGATGAAGGCCCAGAGAGGTTAAGAGACTTACCCAAGGTCACACAGCTTGGGTCACAAACCCAAAATAGATGTTTATAGATCTGCAATGTTCAAAGGAAATTGTGGGGTACAAGTTGAATGCTTCAAGGACTAACTCGAAACTTTTGCATAAAATTGCATGCTTTGGCCTAGTACCCTTCGCCTGTGGATCTTCCAAACCCTCTCTTAGAAGGACCAGTCCCTGGGATATGTGCTCCTCCATCCCCAATCTGTGGCCTAAAGGAGCTGTTTTAAGAGGACCCTCATTTAATCCATAAGTCCCAAGTTGGTCTCAGAAGGCCAAGGCAGTCATTAAAAAGAGTCCTGTCTGCTCCTACAAAGATTAACCAGGTGTATTGGTTTTCTTCCAGACGATATCATCATCCAGAAGATAGTGCAGCTGCTCCAAAAAGTGGGCGACCAGTGGGAGGAAGAGGTGAGGAGGGAACTGTCCGCACGGACGCCCAGGGGCGTGCTGCCGTCCCTCCCACTCGCTCAGACCCTGCCTGTCCTTCCAGGCCTCGCTGCTCCCTGCCCTGGTCTCTGTCACCAGCCGTGCCTGGGGCCACCCTGAAGCCCCTGGTTGCTCCTCGGTTGCTTCTTGGGGAGCTTTCCCCTCTCCTGAGGGTCAGGGGCCTGGCTCAGCTTCTCCCTCATCTCTCCCACAGCAGCATCAAGCCCTTCATCCTGTGGTGACCCGACGAAACGCAGGACCGGCTGTCAAGAAGAAATCCCAAGAGAAAATGTCTAGCCTCAAGAGAGCCTTTTCTTTTAAGAAATACGGCTCCGAGGAACCCAAGAGAGCAGGGACCGCCCCTGTTTCCAGCCCAGAGTCCCGGCCGCCCAGAAGGCCCAACTTTCTGCCCCTGTGTGTGGGCGGCCATCGGCCCTCCAGCTCCAGCCTCCCCGGTGAGCAGGCTCACGGTTACCATAGCAACACCGCCTCCCGTGCTGGAACCTTCCCCATGGCTTGAATTGGCCATTTGCAGAGCTGCCATCCCAGTTCTGAATTTCGCTCTGCCCTGAGCAGCGTGGGGAGGGCAAAAGGAATGCCAGAAGGTTACCTCCACACACCAAGCCTCATCGTCTAGGCAAGCCAGCTAAGCCCCCGGTGGAAACTGTGTTCAGAGAATTCCACCAACTACCGTGGTCTCTCCTCAGCCTCAGCTTTCACACCCTGGCAGCGGGTAGCACGTGCAGGAAGGAACTGGAGCCTGAGAGGCAGGAGATCTGGGTGCTGGGCTGTACAATCCCTAACTCTGTGCCTCAAATCTCCTTGCCTGTAAAAATAAGACATTTTCTGGCTGTGTATCTGTTGGCCACCAGTCCTCATCTTAGGAAGTACATCTTATTATCCCCATTTCACAGATGAGGCAACTAGGGTTTCGGGAGGTAAAATCATGTTTGTGGTCACGGGGCCCATCATGATGGAGTCAGAATTACTGCGAGAGAGGGCCTTCCTGGTGTCAGGGAGGACCAGCCTAGCAGGTCATCCTGGCCAGGGGAATTCACATTTTAAAAAGGAGGAAGCAATATTTAACACTAAAGAGCGGATCCCCGGTTGTGGGATTTCAGGCCACAGGGGAGGTATTTTCATGTAGGGGGGTCCTGGCTGTGATGGGGCTAATTCGGGCCAGGACATCCGGCATCTACTCTCCAGTTTGCAGGTGAAGCCAAGACGGTAGAGGGATGAGCTTCCAGGGGAAGGAGGGGAGGCGGAGAAGCCCAGGACAGGCACAGCTGTAGGGATGGACATGCAAAGGGATGAGGGAGCTTGGTCTTCAGTACAGCGGAGCCACGGCCCTGCCAGCAGCCCCCTGCCGCCCCCAAAAGGCCTCTGCATGCACTAGCCACGGAGCGCACTCTGAGTCTCTGCTGACTTCTGTGCGTTAGTCAACACCCTCTGGCTGGTGAAGCTCACCCACCGCGTTTCCTCTTGCTTTTTAGGTGTGGAAGAACCTGAAGTCCAAGAGGCTCCACCTACAGATGGAGGAGAGCCAAGTCCCTTTGAGCTTTGCACCCCAGCAGAAAGTGGGGGAGCCGACGAGGACCTGCAGCAGGACAGAGCCGCAGAGTTCAGTCAGTACCCCCTCTTCTCTTCTCAGAGGCCCGTTGGGAAATGTCTGAGCTGAGTCCTCTACTTCCAGAAGAGAAACTGAACCAGAGAGAGGCAGTGACCTGTCCTTTCCTGCCTCAGCGCTGCAGGCTGGGGAGGCAGCTCGGGGTCCAGAACACAGGCTCTAAGCCAGACTGAGCCTCAGCTGTAAAACCACAAAAGTAATCATGCCCTCCTTGGGGAGGCCGACACTAGGAGATGCAAGGAAAGCATTAGCCCTTGGCAAGGGCTCTGTAGAAGGTACAGCTTTAGAACCTGGGTTTGAGCCTGGGCTCTGACCTCTCCAGCTGAGTGATCTTGCAAGCTTCTTCATCTCTGATCTCAGTTTCCTCATCTATAAGTTGGGGATAAGAATAGTCCCCATGCCCTAGAGTTGTTGGAAGCTCTCAATGAATTAGTGGTGATAAAGCATTTAGAGGTGTGTCCGGGAGCTGCTAAAAAAATGTCAGCTGCTGTTTGTTGTGACTATTAGTGTTGTCACGTAGCCCAGCTTGAGAGCAGAGCCTCGGGAGAAATAAAGAGGATGGGAACAGGGGTAGAGGCCTTAGGAGAGAAGCTGAACCAATGGTGGCTGCCAGCTTTATCATTATTATTTTATCGTTGGCGGATCCAAGCCTGTAATCATGTAATCACTGTCCCTTCTGTGTGTCTGAAGATCCGCTTTCCCTACCTCTCCCACTCTGCCTTCTTTGCTTTTCACAGAGGATGTGCCTTGAAGGAGAATTGAGAAGGGCCCCTGGTCTACCTAGAAGAGGAGGAAGGAGCAGGGAGGGGAGATTTGGTACCAGGTGGCCTTGAGACACCTTCCCCTGGAGGCTGTTTCCTACACATAACAGGGCACGTCTAGGCTCTTCCTCAGTAATGAATGAATAAGTGAATGAATGAGTGAATATGTTCTCAGGACTTCCCTGGTAGCTCAGCTAGTAAAGATTTCGCCTGCAACGCAGGAGACCCCGGTTTGATTCCTGGGTCAGGAAGTTCCCTTGGAGAAGGGATGGTCGACCCACTCCAGGATTCTGGGGCCTCTGTGGTGGCTCAGACGGTAGAGAATGAACCTACAATTTTGGGAGACCTGGGTTCAATCCCTGGGTTTGGGAATGTCCCCTGGAGGAGGGCATGGCAACCCACTCCAGTATTCTTGCCTGGAGAGTCCCCATGGACAGAGGAGCCTGGAGGGCTGTAGTCCATGGGGTCACAAAGAGTCAGACATGACTGAGCGACTAAGCACATGCTCCCATGAAACCAGCTCTGCCCTCAGGCCACCTCTGGGGAATCTGTGGTCCCCACCATGGGTTGGGCCAGGGATGACCTCAAATGCAAGCTCATTAGCACCCACCCTGGAGGCCTGTGAGAATCACCCAGGGAGCCACCAGGTCTTAGGAAATGAAGACTAACCACAGAAAAGCTTTTCTCAACACTTTAGGAAATGAAGACTAACCACAGAAAAGCTTTTCTTTGCACTCAAGTGTGAGCAACCCCTTTGTTCTTTTTTTTTTTAGAAGAATTCATCCAGAAGATCATTGCCCTACTCCAAGATGCAGAAGAGCAGTGCGGAGACAAGGTGAGGAAGACATTCCCCACATAGACCCTGACTCTCACTTTGGACACCCCACCCCAACCTGGTACAGTAACTCCCCTGCCCCTCCCCCAATCCTCCATCTTGCCAGAGCCTGCCTCCCGTCTCCCCTCCTTCCTGGAGCCTCCCCTAAGCGCTGCAGGCTGTGCCTGTCTCCCCAGCTCTGAGCACCATCACCCTTCTCCCCTGGCCACACCATCTGGCCCACAGTGGGTCTCTGTTCGTTTCTGGGGCTGCTCGTCTCAGCTGACTTATAAAGTCAGGGGCCCTGACTCAGTTTCCCTTATCTCCCCCGCAGCAACTTCAAGTCCAGGAGCCAGAGGTGGCTGTAGAAAACTTGGCCCCAGCCTGCAGGAAGAAAAGCCAAGAGAGAAAGTCCAACTTCAGAAAAGCCTTCTATAAAAAACACAGCTCCAAAGACCCCAAGAGGGTGGGGGCTGCAGGTGCTGCCAGCCCAGACTCCCGGCCACCCAGGAAGCCCAGCTTTCTGCCCCTGTGCGTCGGTGGCCATTGGCCCTCTGTCTCCATCAACTCTGGTGAGCAGGCCTGGGGTTGCCATGGTGACAGAGGCTGCCTGTGGCCCCATGGCTTCCTCCAGGGCAGGGTTGGCCAGATGTGCGGTGTACCATTCAGTCTTGACTTTCACTCTGAGCAGAGTAGGGTCGTGTGGGGGCACAAGAGAAGAAAGGAGTTGGTTGATGCCAGGATTCACCCCCCACAACACACACTCTCCCCCCCCATCATAAACACCTGAAAACAAATATGGTATGAGAGCATCACCATACATAAATCAGAATCACCTGGAAAGGTGATAGAAAAATAGAGACTCGGTTTGACGAAGTAGCTCATGTTCTGGGCCTCTGTTTTTTCACTACACTAAGGTGTGAGGACCGCTGGGATACAACAATCCCCCCAACATTGGCAGAGTGTCCACTGCATGCTGCATTGACACATGTTATCTCATTTAATCCCCTTCACAACTCTCCCAATTGACAGATGGGGAAAGTGAGGTTCAGACAGGCTAAGGGACTCCGCAAAGGCTTGCCAAGTTAAAGGGGAAGTGGGCTCATTTGCTGAGACTTGTTGGCAGGCCTGCCTGCTTTCCTCCCAGATATAAGGAGGCAGAGGGGGAAGGTGGAAGAGAGAATGCAATTCCTGGAGGGACAGAGAACACTGTGAACTCCTCTCTGAGGCAGGGCTGGGGGGGGCCGGGGGTTCCCTGAGGAGCCTGGGAAACCAGGACCCCTCTTAAGTCAGAGACTTTGGACAGCTTCTTGTCAGAACCTGGGTTCAGTGATGTGCTGGTGGATTTGAGACAGGTGCAAACACATTCACACCAACTCCTCTTTGCCCTCAGATCTGGAGGATCTCGAATTCCAGGGGTCCCCATCCACAGAAGGGGAGCCAGTTGGAGCCCCAGAAGCACCCTCCCAGGCCAGAAGCCACAAGCCAGAAGGGGGACCTCAGCTGGACGGAGCGAATGAATCCAGTTAGTGTCACCCTGCTCTCTCCTGGGACAGCTGCCCTGGGGCTTCCCCTTTGCATGACTTTCACAGGCTAAACCCTAGTAGGGAACTGGGAAGGGGCAGCTTTACAAATACCCTAGGAGACTCTAGAAGGGCAGAGAGGACACAGGGTTGGCCTTTGAACTGGGGCAGAGTTGCAGGTGGACAGCCTTCTTCAGGTAGAGGATGTCTGTCCATTCTGTGGGATGTACTTTCACCCCCACTGCATGCCGCTGCTTCGCATGATGTTTCATGTAAAACTCCTAGCTTGCTCTGGGTCTCCTAACCAGCGGCCTGCTGGCAAACACGCTCCAGTACACTAGGGGTATGGGGTCCAGGGGAGGCCCTGATTTGTAGCCTTTGCAGATTTCTGTGGTATAAAATCCCCACCTTGGCCGATTTCAAGTTGCCAACAGTTTATAACAACGCGTTTCCAAATACTCCGAATATTCATAAGTAACTCTTGGTATGAGCCACCACCTGCACACCATTGCTTACAGCCCAGGCTGATGGTGCAGGCTATTCTGTAGCCTAGATAAGGTCTCAGTTTCCCCATCTGTCAAAATGGAGCTGAATGTGGTGGCAGGTGATTTTCGGCAGGTCAAAGTGCCTTCTTTGTCTATAAAGCAAAACGAAACAAAACCTTCGTGCTCCAGCTCTAGTTTAGGGGAAGAGTTTTCTTTGCTCTTCATAACTAATCTGTGTGCTGTGTTTTAGAGGCAAAATACTTCTGGGGTCGATGGATGGGCTATTGCAGAACTTGTCAACAGTCCCTCAATCCTTCTTTACTTTTCTTAGAGGAGCTGATCATCCAAGAGCTGGTGGCCCTTCTCCAAAAAGTGGATGGCCAGTTGGGAGAGCAGGTGAGGAGTGCTCAGTACCCCCAGGAAGTGAACCCAAGTTCAGTCCCCATCTCTGCATCTAGGTGACCGTGGCCTGCCCCATAACTTCTATGAGCCTCTGTTTACTCTTTTGCAAAATGGGGGATAAATACCTATTTGCCAAGGTTGGTGCTTATACAGAAAATGCCAGACACACAGCAGAGAAGGCCAATGTTGATTTAAAATAACGTAAAGCTCTGTGTCTCCACCTGCCAACCAGGACTTCCCCCTGTCCAAATCGTCCTTGAAGTTCAGCTCAAGGAAGCCTCCTTCCCCAAGTCCCTCTGATCTCGTCCTCTATCTGCCCTTCACTCTGTCTTGGCACACGCATCAGCAATATAAGGCCTCTGATTCTTTCAAGCTTTTAGAGTTTCCTCTGTTGCTAGATAGCTTGTAACATAAGGTTCCTCGCCTTTGAAAACCTCACAGTCTACTTGGAGAGACAAACACAGATTGCATACAAAGAGGCAGGTCATAGATGAGTGATCAGTGCGGTGGTGCTGGTTTAGTTGCTAAATCATGTCTGACTTTTGTGAACCCGTGGACTGTAGCCTGCCAGGCTCCTCTGTCCATGGGATTATCCCAGCAAGAATATTGGAGTGAGTTGCCATACCCTCCTTCGGGGGATCTTCCCGACCCAGAGATTAAACCAGCATCTCCTGCATTGTAGGTGGTTCTCCAGTATTGCAGGCAGGTTCTTCACAACTGACCCTGGGGCCAATGCTTTCGGTACCTCTTCTGGCACCACAGATCACCTGGCCCAGCTCCCGACTGCCAGCACCTGCGTCCTTTTGCCTGAAGACTGCCCCTCCAGAGCCCTTTACACCCATACAATAGGCCAGAGTGACACTCTCCACCTTGCCAGGAGCAGCCCTCAATCATTGGCTGATGGGAGCTGGTGTACACATACCCCAGCTCCCTCCCGCCTTGGGGGGATAACTCTGGGGCTCCCACAGTGCCCCAAGGGGATCAGGCTCAGCTGCCAGCTTGAGGGTGCTGCTTCTCATTCTTGCCCCCCTGTTTCCACTCCCCCATCTGCCCAGATCACTCAGCAGAAGTGAACTGCATCTGAGTCCTAGTCTTTGGATCTGCCTCTGGAGGAACCCAACCTAAGACATTTAGGTATTAGGAGGAGGCGGCTTAGCATGGGAACTAAAATCACCCAACATCCACTTTTCACAAAACATTAAACTATTTCACTTAATCGCCCCCAATAGTGTGTTGGGGGAAGGTATTATTAGCCCCAGTTTACACGACCAAACAGAGGCTCAGAGAGGTCACACACTAGTGAGTGCTATTTTTTTTTTTTTCAGTGAGTGCTATTTAAACATCCGTTACCTGAATCCAAAGACCTGCATTTTGTCTTTTGGGGTTTTTTTTCCACTTTGTTGTGCTGCTTGGGGCTGTACCTTGCAGAGCAGATTCTGAGAGGCCCGGGAAGGTGGAGGAATTTAACAACGCATGCTGTCCCAGGGACAGTGAGGCGCCCAGCCTGACTGCGTGGGGTTGATGGAGGAGGGGTGCTGGGGGGAGGGGAGTACCTGCCAGCCACACTGATGGCCTGCCTTCATTTCTGCCTCCAGATCAAGCGACACCCCAGTTTTAAGAAATTTTTCTACAAGCCCTCAGTCTCTTCCCTCAGAAAGCTGGCAGCCACGCTGCGCAGCCAAGCGGCCCACGCCACCGAGCCCCAGAAAACCTACCCATTCGTCTTTGGCTTGGGAAACCAATGTGCTGGCAACAATTACCACACCGTCCTCACAGGCCTACACTACAGGACACCCAGTTATGGCCAGTTCCCGTTCGAGGAGGCCCAGCAGGTGAGAACGGGCCACGTGGTGTGAGGGGTGACAGACTCAGATCACAAGGACCTGCTTCCTATCCTCTCCCCTTCCCTGCTTAGTTCAGGACTTCTGGGGTCCAGCTCAGATGCCACCTCCTTGTCCAGGCCTTGTGAGACAATTCTATGCCACAGCGGTCTTTATCTTTCCCAGCCTCCCTGCTTCACCTGCTAATAAGCTAATTAGTATCCTCTTTTTATTTGGCCCTGGTCTCCAGCAGGAGGTGTATTTTCATACTTCTTTATATCAGTATGGAATATCAGACCAGCTAGTATCGTAGCTTCACCCTCTTGCTGTTTCATGGGTTGTGCTGATTGGCTTGCCAATTGAGGCGGGTCATAAAATTTAAAGAAAAAAGTACAGTAAGATTACATATCAAACAAGGGATGGTGAGGTAGATGAGAAGGCTCCCTGGGGCTGTTTGGTTCTGAAAGGCTTCTCAGAGGACAGTCTTCAAGGACCTTGCCTTGACTGATTATGAATAGCCTCTCCTCTGCCATCACTCACTCTTTTTTTTTTTCCTTCAATTTTATTTATTTTATTTTTTTTTCCATTTATTTTTATTAGTTGGAGGCTAATTACTTTACATCATTGCAGTGGGTTTTGTCATACATTGAAATGAATTAGCCATGGACTTACATGTATTCCCCATCCCGGTCCCCCCTCCCACCTCCCTCTCCACCCGATCCCTCTGGGCCTTCCCAGTGCACCAGGCCCGAGCACTTGTCTCCTGCACCCAACCTGGGCTGGTGATCTGTTTCACCCTAGATAATATACGTGTTTCGATGCTGTTCTCTTGAAACATCCCACCCTCGCCTTCTCCCAGAGTCCACAAGTCTGTTCTATACATCGGAGTCTCACTCACTCTTGATTGGTTTCATGCTTTCCCTAATAATCCTCCCTTCCCTGAGGCTCTGGGATGGTCCCTGTAGAGAGAAAACTTATTAACTGATCTTTTTTAAAATCTGAATTTCCTGGTGGACTCTTAAGTTCTCCCTGCCATTTTCAAACTCACTTAAGATGAAACATTTAACCACATCTAAAGTGCAGAAACTACCGAGTGAAGTTGTGATTTTAAAGCAATTAAATGTCCTATTCGTGTTGGACAGATAGGACCAGAACTTCTAGATCCAAATGGTCCCCTGGGGAGCCAGACCTTCATTGCAATGATGTCACCCTACTCAAACCCTTGGTCTCTTCCTGGAATTACCTTAGAAGCTGTGTGATAAGTCTCTCAAGAAAACAGGCCTTATTTCATGATACTTGCGGTACATCATTACAATGGCTTTCCTGGTGTGAACCCCTTGTGACCTTAGACCTCTCTTTGCTCACACTCACTGTCTTCTCCTGGAGACTAGGGACAATTTGCCCTCTAAGGTGGATTAGGTAACACCAGATGGAGTGATCTGAGTTCTTTGTAGAAGATATTATAGAAACATCAGTTCTGACATCCTCAGTAGCCCTAACACTGTATCTTCTGGTTTTGCTAGCCATTCATTTATTTATTCACTCATCCATCCAATCACTACATATTCAGAGCCTCCTATTAGCCTAGCTGTGTAAGATGCTCTGAGGGCCTGTGAAAGGTTCTAATGGAAAAAGACAGACTGTTTACTGATAATAAAAGTAAATATCAATTAAATGCCAAATTAGCACTAGCTGTGGCCAATAAAGCAAGTTGGTTCTGGGAGCCTTCCAGGAGGTAGCAGGCATTGATTTTGACCTTTGAGGATGGAGAGGCTGTCAATGGGGAAAAAGGACCAAGAGCACACTGCAGGCAGGAGGTACTCCGGGAGCAGAGACCCAGAGGTGGGAGCTAGTGGGTTAATGAGAAGTCTGTTGTTACCAGGGTGGGACCCATACATAATTGGACTATGGCTTAAATCTGTGTTCTTTTTCTCCTCCCAGAACATCACAAGTTCTCAGATCCAGAGTCCAGATTGAAAGCTGTGCTTTGCACTCAAGTTCCCTTGAACTATGCAAACATTGGTAGCTTCAGCCAGGAAACCCTGAATAGGCTCCATGTTCTCCCAATCCAGTGCTTCACAGACATGACTGAAGACAAGAGTGGACAGCCATTCGGTGCCCATGCACCATCGTGGGCTCATTGAGATGGAGAATGAACAAGGTGTTCTACAAAACTGGAGGCAAAGGCCATGGGGGGAAATGCACTGGACTGGGAATTAGGAGACCAGGACTCCACCTGCTGACCTACCTCCGAACTTGGCTCCAAAACCCTGTACGAGTCCCACATCCCCTCTCCTCTCCAGACCTTGGATTCTGGGCTGGATTAGTGACCCATCTGGTTGTATGATGCTAAAATATCTCTAAAGAGAGATAGCAAGTGCTTTCACTTTGTGCCTAAATATACCCACCCCACGTAGCTGGAGGCAATCTTTAAGTACTGACCAAATGAATGAATGAATGGAATGCCTGAGATCCAGGTAATTCTGCTAGGCATTCTCTGGGAGGCCTTGGTCCTCAACTAGAATTGTGAGGCCAGTGGTTTTCCTCTGAATTGATAGTTAGGAAATGGGGGAGTTACCTCAATAGGCATTGGTCTGGAGCAAGGCCTCTGCATTCTGGGGCCAACCCGAGGGCCCATTGCTGACTTATGTACCCTTGTTTGTTTGTTTTATCGGGTGTTTTCTTGGTTCACCAGGGCTAAAAATATGCCCACGTCATGTAGAAGAGCTGCTGATACTTTTTTCAGATGTTAGTTTTTAAAATAAGTCTCTTGCTTCCCTGATAGCTCAGTTGGTAAAGAATCTGCCTGCAATGCAGGAAACCCCAGTTCGATTCCTGTGTCAGGAAGATCCCCTGGAGTAGGGATAGGCCACCCACTCCAGTATTCATGGGCTTCCCTTGTGACTCGGTAAAGAACTCGCCGGCAATGCGGGAGACCTGGGTTCAATCCCTGGATTGGGAAGATCCCCTGGAGAAGGGAAAGGCTATCCACTTCAGTATTCTGGCCTGGATAGTCCATAGGGTCGTAGAGTCGGACATGACTGAGCAACTTTGACTGACATTAGTTTTAAAAATATATCTATGCTTAATCTCTCACGAGAACATCCACATGCTCTTAACAGATGTGCAGCTACAGGTATCACATAATCTATTCAGCTTGCCAACAGTACTTAATGCCCATATGGATTTGTAGAACCTCCCAGGAACCCTGCAACCTCTAGATGGGGAAGCAGTATAGTGGGGACAACTGGTCTGTCTTAGAATCCTCTCAAGCTGATGCCTTTCAGCTCTGCCATCTCATGTTTTGCTTGTTTAGTCGCTAAAGTCATGTCTGACTCTTTGCGACCCCATGAACTATAGCCTACCAGGCTCCTCTGTCCATGGGTTTCTCCAGGCAAGAACAATGAAGTAGGTTACCATTTCCTCCTCCAGGGCATCTTCCTGACCTGGAGATCAAACTTGCGTCTCTTCCATTGCCAAGGAGAATTCTTTACCACTGAGCCACTTGGGAAGTCCAAATAATTCATTCAATGATATTTAAAAGTAAATTTGGAAATTGAATGGGGTTCAATCGTGGGGATTTGCCAAAAGTCACTAAGAAAATCAACACAAAATGTTCTGAAATTACATAGTGCCGTGTCTATATAAGTTGCTATTCTTATGATAGCTATAATCTGCGTAGTTTTCAGGAAATGGGGGAGGGCTCCAAGCTAGACTGCCAGGGATGGTTGCATGAGCGTGCACTGCTCAAGAACATCTAATTGCAGGAAGTGCTACTGACTTCTGAGACATTGTGGATTTATAGATTTATGATGATGATTTTCCAGCTGATGGCAGAAAAGTATCTTGAGAAATGGGCTCCTTTTTGTTTTTGCACCAAGGCAAGGTTCAGTCTTCTACACAGCTCAACAGTTCCAACAGCTTGGCTCAGTCAGTCAACTTGCCGTGTGTCTATTATCTGCATGCTTGCCTGGCAGGGCTATGAATACAGCCCTCTAACACTGCCTAGAACGCATGGCCATTGGGGAGAGGGTGTTAAAACCTGGATGGCCAACCCATCCTTGTTATCCTTGGTGGACTCTGTCTTGATGTGTTGATATTGTGACAAGCCCCATAGGGTAGAGCTGAGGAGGGGGAGAAGCCAAGGGCAAGAGAGACTTGGGCACTTAGCAGGGACTGGCCTCAAATGTGAGGCAAAGTTTTAGATTCTGAAAGTCATTTAGTGTTATTGCTGCTCCCAAGAAGTGGGGGAGGTTTATTTATTTTATGGATTCATTTTAGGCAGTGTTCAGGAACACAGCACTAAAATGTGAAAGATCAGAATCAGTTTTGAGAAGAGGGTCAGGCACCTTCTGTACAGAGTTTCTTATTTGGAATGATGTTCTTTAAGTTATGTAAGTATTTGGTATGAGTTTCTGATGCTGGCATCTGAGTCTCACTTTTGTACTGTGTTATTTGAGCAAATAAAGAAACTGATTTGCACAGAAGTCTGACTTGGATTGGATTATTCACCATGGAGGCAAGATGGAGCCACCTGCCATGTCTAGGCCAGTCCAGAGCCTGCAGGGTTGTGGGGGGCTGCCTCCTTTTCCCTGCCTGGCAGCCCTGTCCAGATGCTATTCAGGTGTCCCATCCTTGTGGTACCAACTTGCTGAGGGATTAAAAAAAAAAAAAGGTGTCCTGGCCTGAGCATCAGGTGACCTGGGTTTTAATCCAGCTGCCTTCAGGCTGATGACCTTAGAGAGAGATAAGACTCTTGCCTTCCAGACATTCTACAACTTTCATTCTACAACTCTGTGATTCTTCAGGTGACAGTGAAATTGTATGTCCAGGAAAATCTGGGCCAGTCCTAATGCCGCATCATCTGTCTTAATGATTCCTAAACTCTGGTACCCAAACTCGGTCACTCAAACCAGGATAAAAATGGACAGAATACAGTGCCTGGTTTTTGGTCCGGAAAATGTGGTCTCCATTGAAAGCTAAAGCCTCCTTTCCCCTGTCTCAGATAACACGTGAGTTCTTCCAGCAGCAACCTGAGGAAAGGGAACTTGTATGCATAGCTTGTCTTCTTTCAAAAGTAAGTTTCCTTTCCCCAGCTCTTGAAGGTGTGCCTTAATGCTCTGAGAAGGCCAGGAGAGAGCAGCACTACTATCGTCTCACGGACGAGGACGCTGAGGCTGGGAGTGTTCCAGGTCACCCAGAAGGCTACAGGCAGAACCACCAAGGACGCTGTTCTCAGAGCCACTCTAGTGCCCGCCCACCGTCAGCCAATATTTACGAGCACTTACTATGTGTCAGGTCTAATGCTAGCTCTGAAATCCACAGACGCAAGACAAAACCCCTGCCCTTGGGCCGCTCACAGCCCTCACTGGCTGCGGTGCCAATTTTGTGCCAAGAGGCATAGAGGACCGTGGGACATGGTCTGAGGGTGGGGTTCCCTCCACTCACCGTGGAGGCCTCAAGAGCGCTGAGATGCATGGGAGACCCTGCTGCTTTGACAGACTTTTGAAAGGTGGGCAAGTGATAACAGAACATCATAATGAACTAACCTCTTAGTGTCCTGACAAGTCAGGAGGCTAACTGGGTGGGTCAGAGATAATGGTGGGAATCCTCTGGTAGTTCAGTGGTGAGGACTCCAACTTCACTGCCAAGGGCACAGGTTCAATCTCTGCTCAGGGAACTAAAATCCTGTGCGAGCAGGGTGGCAAAACAAAACAAAACAAAAAGCCAAATAACTCCACAAAAAACAAACCCAGAGATAATGGGGTAAGGGGGTCAGCAGAGAACTGGCTGAGTTTGGGTGTTAGCTGGCCTGCAGGGGTGCTGCGCTGTAGACGTCACACAGATACGCTTGTTTGGAAAATTAGCAAGTGTTCTGGCCTTGGCACCAGGGACACCTTCTGATTTCAAAACACAACCCATTCCTGTTGCTGTTCCCCGCCCCCCCCCCCCCAAGGCATAAAAAGAAGAGAGGAACTATTAGGGCTGCCAAAATTAGCAAAGAAGAAATATGGGTGGCCCAGTTAAATCTGAACCTCAGATAGACAACAAATAATTGCAATGCTGGGGGTACCCTTACATGAGGTAATTATTCATTGTTTATCTGAAATTAAAATTTAACAAGGAATCCTGTATCTTTTTTTTTTTCTTTCTGGCCACCCTGGAACGCAGGTGAGAACAATTCTCTAACTCCCTCAGAGCATCTGGGCTCAAATACAGGCTTTGAGTTATAGCAATAGTTAATATTATATTCAGTTCTCCTTTTCACACCAGGGAATAAGCATTCCTGAGTTGTGCAAGACTGAAACCCTCCCTCCCCTGGCTCACATGTCTCAGGGCCTCTGGGCACACAGTCACTTGCAAACAGCAAGACCCTCTTAGGCAAAGGACCGAAGGCAGCAGGGCTGCTCCACCTGACTCCCCGGGCTCCTCCCTTGACTGGTCTGGGCCGCAGACCTGGAGAAGGCAGCGGATGCTGGAACACCTGAGCTTTGGTTCTTCTCAGGTCTCTCAAAGGTACACTTAGGTTCCTCCAGGTAGAGCCATCTGAAGAGGATGTGTGTGGACTCTTGTTCCCTCACATGGTCCTGTTCAATGTAGGTTCCACCCGCCTCCACGCCGTAGCTTCCCACCCACTTGGGCTTAAATTTGCATGTGTCCTTCTCAGGGGCCACAGTGCAGGGCTGTCTTCCACCTAGTCTTCTAGGATTTGCATTCTAGGATTTGTTAAGCACATGCATCTGAGCCCTGTGGACAGCCTGTTTTTCCTTACTGGGTCTGGCTGGAGCCAGAACTTATCCACAAACAGTGAGTTAATTTTTTTTTTCCTGGACAGGCTGCAAAAATCGAAGTTAAAGGCCTCTTACTTGTGGACCGTTTTCACTGAGGTGTGAACAGCAGACAGAGTCTGCCCTCATCTGGGCGGGGAAAGGGGAGGGGAGGGCACACATGACCTCCCATTTCCTCTGTCAGCACAGCATGACTTGGGGAAGGCCAGGGCCGCCCGCTCCTCCCAATTGCACCAATAATCCCCGGGGTAAAAGCTGGTAAAGGCTTCTTGCCAGGTCAGCGCCTCCAGGGGATTCCCATGAATGGCCGAGATGGAGTCCGCTGGTTCCAGGTCAAGCCTTTTGTGTATTGTGTGAACAAAAAACAAACAGCAGAGGAAGATGTGGTCTCTTGACACCACAGGAAACAGGAAAGGGTATCCACGGCTCAGCTCTATCTGACCCCCAACAGTTTTGCCCTGTGGATGAACTCCTGGGGAAGGACGAGGATCTTGGAGAAGCAAACTCAGGCTGGGTTGGGAGGAGGACTCAGAGCCCAGATGCCTGGGAGGAGGCTGTGCTGCCCACTCTTAGTGTCTGTCTGTACCGACGTCCATCTGTCTGTCCAGAGCAGAGTAGCGGAAGGACCCCAGGGAAGCTGGGTGGATGTTTAGACAAGGAGGCTCTTGCCTGGGGGAAGCAGGACCCTCTACCCCAACAGGCTTGGTAGTGGGTGGGACCCTGGTCCTTGCAAGGCCTGATGTGAGAGGAGGGTGTCTGAGAACAGTGAGGAAAAGGTTCAGCCTCGCGGCCGTCAGGTTCTCTCCCGTTTCAGCTCAAGTTTCCTCTCCCAGCTCACAGTTTCCTAGAAAAAGGACACAAATTCATCATCTGCAAGTCCCAAATCTAGTACTTCCCTCCCCTTATATCCACCGAGAACACTGCTCATAGCTTCATATACTTTGGGCATCCTGAGCAAATAGCCACACTGATATGTGGAAATAGGAAATCTCAATTTGTATCAAAAGCCAGTTCGAGGGTTTACTTTGTTATACAAGTGGTCTTCTGCAAAAGCAGAATCCCATTTGCAAAGCGGGAGTTGGTGAAAGCGTGTTTGCCATATTTTGTGACTTACAAAAGTCTGGTTGATATTTGGTTTTTCAGGAAGAGGTAGAGTAGTCTCCAGTATGCTGAGTACAGTTGTGTGGACTGCACACTGCACAAGGATACACTGCCAGTACAAAAGGGTAGGCACTTCACAGACACACTTATGTTGTATGTCGTTCATACAGTTTTCAAGTAGTCGGTAATCAATTGTTAAAAAAAAAAAAAATCAGCATGTTATGACAACTTTCCAGCAGGTGGCACTCAAGTTCTCAAGGACAGGATGCTCTATTCTTGGTGCACAAGGCATTCTAGCGGCTAGTGTTGGCCTTGACTGGGACCAGGAAGAGGCAGATGGGGGCAGAAGGAAAGATGGGCTGACGGGGCTCAGAGGTCACCACGGCATCCTGGCACAGGACCGGCAGTGTCTGGCCCCCAGGGACACCCTGGGGAGTTCCACACCTCAGGGCGGCTGTATTCCTGGATCCGGCTGGGATGAGGCCTGTAGGCGACCCAAACTGTTTCGGAGGTGGAGATCAGAGAGAAGTCAAGTGGGCAGGGGGCAGACCTGGATGTGAGAAGCCAAGGAAGCACATGTGAGGGGAAATGAGACCAAAGGGGGGAACCTGGGATCCTGATTTCCAAGCCCTCCTCCACTTGCTGAGGGACCCTGAGCCAGTCACTTGCCCTCTCTGGGAAACAGCAGGGAGACACCTGCAGAACTCATCTTGGAGAAATGCTGGGATGTGGACCTGGATATCCCTGGATAATTTTCAAATCTGACTATGTCATTCTGTTGTTTAAATCCTCTCACGACTCCCCAGCAACACAGACGAAGTTCAACCTCTTTAGCACGGCACCCAGGCTAGACTGCCCTACCCCTTGCCACGTGTCCGAGTGCATCTCCGGCCTCTCCTGTCCACATGGAGGAGCTACACCACACCCTGTGACTTCTGACTCTCACTGCAGCGCTCCTTCTCCCCTGGAGGCTGGCCCACTTAGTGGTTAACATCAAAATCCTGGTGACAGATGTTCTGGATTCAGATCCTGGCTCTGCCATCTACCAACTGTGTAACTTTGGGCTTGTACTTAACCTGTCTGTGCCACAGTGCTTGGAATATAATAACTACTATGTAAGTTTTAGCTATTATTTAATTCACCTATTAAAAGATTTTCATTGGATTATAATTGATTTCCAATGTATAAATTTACCTGTGAATAGGGGGAGGTTCCATAGTAACCCAGAGGAAGGGTTCTCTAATAGTGTAAATTTGGGGAGTCTGACAGATTTGGTCTGTGGTTAACAACCTGTTTGCCTGTGCAGAGGACACAGGCTTGATTCCTGGTCTGGGAAGATCCCACATGCTGCAGAACAACGAAGTCGGTGCTCCTCAAGAACTGAGCCCAAACTCTAGAGCCCATGAGCCGCAACAACTGAACTCTGAGTGCCTTGAGCCCATGCTCCACAGGAGAAACTAGCACAGTGAGAAGCCTGTGCACTGCAACTAGAGAGCTGCCCCCGCTTGCTGCAAGTAGAGAAAGCCCACACACGGCAACAAAGACCCAGTACAGTCAGAAATAAATAAACATAAAAAAAAAAAAGAAGGATGTGAGTAGCAATCAGCAAGACGGATCTCCTTCTTTCCATCTGTAGCCTGTAGGTAGTATTTCAGTTCCTCAATCTGTATTTCTACTTTGAGGCCAGTTACACATCCTGAGTCAGATGACCACTGAACTTTTACTAGAGGAGAGATAAGCCAGCAGAGGAAAGCCAGGCTGATACATCTATCTAGCCATGCTCCAGGAGAAGAGCGTATCTGGCATTACTGCTGGTCCTGAATAAAAGGGACAGGGACAGACTTGACTCCAAACTGTATGCCTAGGCAGAGCTATCCTAGCCAATTCACAGACCTGTGAAAGAGAAAAGTAAAATGATTGTTTTGTATTCCACTGAGATCTTGGCCCGGGCGGTGCGGGAGAGAGTGTTGCTTGTTACATACAGCATTATCAAAGCAGCAATAACTGACTAATACAACCTATGCTGGAGTATAGATTGAACGTTTGATTTAAAACATACACAGACACAGACACATCCAGAGTAATACATAGAACATCTATCCTGAGCTTTTATTCTAGATTCTTTCCTCTGCCAGGAGACCAGGAGTTTCCCCAGGACTAGCCAGTGGATGTGACAGTGTCTCTTGTGACTATAGTTTCTGAACAATTCTTTCCTCTTCCTGGATCACTTCTACTTTTCTATGCCATATATATATATATATATATATTCCATCCCACCCCACCCCGTCCCCTAACCTTGTCTTTGAAATTCAAAGCAATAAATCTGCAAGGAATTGCTTAAGATTAATGGGTATATTGCCTCCCAGTAGTTTCATGACTTGTTCTATAAAGGAACACCACACACACGATGTGTGACTCACTGACAACAAGGTTTCCCACAGCTTATGAAAATTGTTTTGTTTGTTTCTATCACATCCTGCTTCTTTGTACAACACCTTGATTCCTAGAAGTTTATCAACCAAGGTAGCCCTGGCTGAAGTGCATGGTTCCCACTCTTCTGAGCACGGGAAGAGGTGTGGCTCTGGAGTCATAGAGCCAAGTCTGGACCTGGTTCCCAGAGAGCACCCCAGCTGCAGGGAAGCTCCCCACACCCAAGGCAGACCTTCCTACATCTTCATGACCGCATCTGACTCTGAGCGCCTAGAGGCAGACTCAAAGGTCAGGGAAGTGTTGAGGATGGAGACCAAGGGACAGAGTGCCCATTCCAGGCTGCGCTGACCATAAGGTCCAGAAGCCAGCGACTGCCCTGTGGGTCCTGCACCCTCACGGTGCAGTTGCTCGGTTACTTCCAACTATTTTGCAGTCTCATGGACGGTAACCCACCAGGCTCCTCTGTCCATGGAATTTCCCAGGCAAGAATACTGGAGTGGGTTGCCATTTCCTTCTCCAGGGGATCTTCCCAACCCAAGGATCAAACCCATGTAAATCAAACTTTGGGGTAAATCTTCAAAGTTGGGGATCAAGTTGAATTTATCTTGCTTTTCTTCGGCCACACCATGAGGCATGCAGGAGCTTAGTTCCCTGACGAGGGATTGAACCTGTGCCCCCTGCATTGAGAGCACAGAGTCTTAACCACTGGACCACCGGAGAAGTCCTTATACTGCCATGGCAGACATTATTGGCTGTATCAGCCAGTATCTATTTTTTTTTTTTTTTTGGCTACGCCCTGCAGCATGCAGAGCTTCCCTGACCAGGACTGAACGCGTGGCCCCTGCTTTGGGACCGTGGAGTCCTAACCACTGGACCACCAAGGAAGCCCCTGAATTCACCCTTGATTTCCCCAGAACCTGGAAGAGCGCTTGGCATTTGTGCTGGCCTTAGTTGTTCAGTTGTGTCTGACTCTTTGTGATCCCATGGCATTTAGTAGGTGCTCAATAAAGTTTGACTAATTAAACCAAAACAATCTAATAGCGTCAAAAGCAATTAGAAGCAGGCCTACATTGGTCAGGACTTTTAGCTGTAGGTTGGCAACAGTTAGGAACTCTACATGGTGAGTCACATGAGCACCCACCTGTCGGGTTTTTAAGAACAGTTCTTTTTTTCCCCACTCTGGGATAAGGAATGGGCTTCCTAGGTGGTGCTAGTGGTAAAGAACCTGTCTGCCCAAGTAGGAGATAGAAGAGACATGGGTTTGATTCTTGACTTGGGAAGATCCCCTGGAGAAGGGCATGGCAACCCACTCCAGTATTCTTGCCTAGAGAATTCCATGGACAGAGGAGTCTGGCAGGCTAGAGTCCATAGAATCATGAAGAGTCAGACACAACTGAAGTGACTTTAGCATGGGACAAGGAATAGCAACTTTATTCCAGAAGACAGAAGATGGACTAGTGGACTACTGGAATAGCAAATTTATTCCAGAAGATAGCAGATGGACTAGTGGACTAGCAGACTAGTGGACAACTTTATTCCAAAAGATAGCAGATGGACTAGTGGGTTAGTGGACTAGTTACACCTGGACTAGCAGGTGGACTAGTGTCCCAAAGAACCATCTTCTTTAAGTAGAGTTCTATTCAGAAGCTAAGACGTAGCTAGTTCACTTCTAGGAGTTATAACCATAATATCTACTAATTATTGACTGCTATTACACATCTTGCACTCTGCGAAGCAAGTTACACAGTTGACCTAGTTAAACCCTCACAACGGCCTTACAAGTTGGCATTAGCCCTCTTTTACAGATCAGGAGATAGAGGCTCAGAAAGACCAAGAGTCCTAAGCACACTCCCTGGGTAAGACTGTGGCTGAGCAGGGATTTTATGTTGGATGCATCCAACTCTGAAGCCCAGCTCCTCATGCTGATCCTTACTGACCCCCCTCACTACCCCTATCATCTTCCTGCAGACCACTCCCTTTCTGTGGGATGAGAAACATTGATCATGCTCACTGCGCTTTGCGGCCTGTTGTCTTGGTCCGTGGATGTCTGAAGGAGCCTTTCCTGGGGCCATCTGTCTTTTGTTTGTTCTTCTTGAACACCTTGCTCACCCAGTTGGACTCTTCAGCAGGGCTCTCCCTGGACAAAGAGATGAAGTGATGGTTGGTTAATGACAGGGCTCCACTCCAGCTCAGAAGGTAGACAGATGCACCAATGTTATGATTCTCAACCCTGGCTGAACATCAGAGTTCCCCAGTGAACTTTTACTTTGTAATCAATGAATGTTTATCTAAGTAACATCATGCCCACTAGTCAAATGAAACTCAAACTTTTATACAGTTACACGTCAATGCAATAAAGTAAGCTATCATGTGAACAAAATGCATAATTTATGTCCAAGCACAAAATTATTTATGTAAACTTTTTCCAAAAATTTTATAATTAAAACTATACTTAATGTGAGAAGCAGGTATGTTTTAATATCCTGGGTATGATACCGAGTGAGAATATCAAAAATAAAAGTGCCTTGGGCCCTTTTCTCTGACTGTGGCCCTAGGAAAACTCAGCCACTGCCAGAGCTACCCCAAGGAGGGGAGGGATGAGGTTGGTGAATAGAAACACCCTGATTTACTCTCTGATCTCCTGCTGGTGCCTTCACCGGCCAACCCCACTGGCATTCAGTCAGCAAGGGAGTCTGGGTATTGTGATTCCCAGAGAGGTTAAGAAAAAAAAAGTTTCCCCGACCCTCTCGTAATAGCTGCAAGGATAACAACTGAGCACATGTTACACAACCCAGACAGTTGATGTGCATTATGAAAGAAGATTTTCTGGAGACAATCTGCAACATAGCAGTATTAGCCCCCTTCTTATGCTGTTAGAAAATAATTTGGATTAAGGGAGATTTGGGGTAGAGTCCCCTTCATTTACACTGTGCAGGACCGACCCAAGGCTAGGGTGCAGCAGGCCTGCCAGCTCTCTTGACCTGAGACACCCCCAGAGAGGCAGGTATGAGGAAGGGCGCACACTCCCCCCTCCTGCATCCAGAGGAGGTACACGCCCCAGTGCGCAGAGTGGGGACTGGGAATGCCACTGTTGGCAGGAATAGACTCATGTCCCCGTGTCCCCCCACTGGAGAAAGAAGGGAGGTAGTGTTCTGTAATCACATCCAGAAGAGGATCCCCAGGCAGCTAAAGAGATGGAAAGTATCATTTAGCTGGGCCTCCTCCCCAACCGAAGGAAAGAAACTGTCCCCAATCAAAGAGACACTCACACTGAGTGAGGTTTGCTGGCGGCTTCCTTCACATTAGCCAGAGGCACGGTGCTTTTCGAATTTGAAGAGGCAAAGGGAGCTACAGCCAAAAATAAAAATACAGAAGGCATGAGTGAGATGGGGACGGGGAGGAGGAGTACTTAGTCATTTTTGAAATAACAATAAGAAGAAAGTGAGAATGTTTAGATACTCTTTTTCTTAAATTCTCATATTTGGGACCAGAATCATATTTGGGGATTTGACTGAGATCCAGGGCAGCAGCCTCTGCGGGAAGGCCTGAAGCTAACCGTTGACGTAATATTATCAACAATTCTCTCCTAAAAAGCAGCCAGTTGTGTTAGGGAAAGTTTTCAAGAAAATCCCCCACAGGGCCCTGAACCTTCCATCATCTGCTATCTGTAATGTTTTTTTGTCTTCTTTACTGGAATAGGAAATACAAATCATTTCATGGCCAGTATTCTTTTCAAAATTTTTTGGCCATGCTGTGGCCATGTGGGGTCTTTGTTCCCCTGACCAGGGATCCAATCCACTTCCCACACATTGGAAGCGTGGAGTCTTAACCACTGGATCACCAGGGAAGTCCCACCATGGCCACTATTCTTTTTTTTTTTTTTCAGTTTTTATTTATTTATTTTATTTATTTATTTATTTATTTATTTATTTTTAGTAAATCATACATTTTATTTATTTATTTATTTTTTCACAACCATAGTGTATCTTTTTTTTTTTTTTTTTTTACATGTATTCCCCATCCCGGTCCCCCCTCCCACCTCCCTCTCCACCCAATCCCTCTGGGTCTTCCCAGTGCACCAGGCCCGAGCACTTGTCTCATGCACCCAACCTGGGCTGGTGAACTGTTTCACCCTAGATAATATACGTGTTTCGATGCTGTTCTCTTGAAACATCCCACCCTCGCCTTCTCCCAGAGTCCACAAGTCTGTTCTATACATAGGAGTCTCTTTTTCTGTTTTGCACATAGGGTTATCGTTACCATCTTTCTAAATTCCATATATATGTGTTAGTATACTGTAATGGTCTTTATCTTTCTGGCTTACTTCGCTCTGTATAATGGGCTCCAGTTTCATCCATCTCGTTAGAACTGATTCAAATGAATTCTTTTTAATGGCTGAGTAATATTCCATGGTGTATATGTACCACAGCTTCCTCATCCATTCGTCTGCAGATGGTCATCATGGCCACTATTCTTAAGTAAGCTCTTTACATGTTTCCGATGAGTATGGGGATATATAATACATGAATATTAAGGTGTAATTATGTAACACATGTAAATAATAATAATATGGAATAAATTAGCGTGTTCGTCTATCTAAGGAACTTGGAGACCTTTCATCTGGTGACCTGCTGGCTGTCCCTCACTTCCCCAGATCTATTTGTGGTTCCTTTGTTTATGGATTTCTCCCAGGACTTTTTGCAACACTCCCACCCCAACAATAACATGGCAAAACAACAAATAACATGAACCCCTGGGGGCAACACTCCGTCCAACTCCCCCTGATGGCCTCAGATGTCACTGCTGAGACCAGCAGGGCTTCTCAACCCCCTTGAACACTGCTCACACCACTGGCCAGGCAAGTCTTTGGTGTAAGGGTTGAGCATTGTAGGATGTTTAGCAGCATCTCTGGCTTCTCCTGACTAGACGTTTCCCACCAGGTGACAACCAAAAATGTCTCCAGGGACTGCCAAATGTCTCCCGGGGATAATATTGTCTGTAGTGGAAAACCATCGGGCTATCTGTACCCTCTGCCAACCCCCGATATGAGTGAGGAATGCCAACTCCGGACCCACGATTGTTCAGGCCCCTGAAGATGGCTGGCTTTAAGCACTAATGTGATAACATAAAATAAATGCATTTCATTTAACCGGGAATAAGAGAGCAAGTGAAACGCTTTGAATAACTTTCTGACTCTTACTGTTCTGGTATTTTTGTCTCAAGATTAAAAGAATCAAAATGAACCTATTCCAAAAAAAAAAAAAAGGAAAGAAATGAAGACAAGAAAACAAAAACAAAATAAAAGGCAAAGTGAACCTATTCCCAAAGAGAGAAAGAAAAAAAAAAAGACAAAGTGCACTTACTCCAGAAAAAGGAGGGGGTCACACGTGACCTGGGGCAGAATCACAGAGAAGGAAGCCTTGCTAACCTGTGCTGCTGTTTATCATAATAACTATGAAAGCCCAACCGATGGACCATGAAGACCCTACAGCCTGGCCTGATTCCATCCCTTGGACTTCTCTCCCTTGGTCCCCACCCAGACCACCTACAGAGCCAAACAGGTGTCCTCTTCATGCTGAATGTATCTTGTGCCCTCCTTCTCTGCACCCAGACCTCTAGAATAAACAAAATCTGAAACATTCTTTCTACTCGGTCAGATCCCACAAACCACAGTTGTCAAAATCCTGCCCCTTTCAAATAACCCCTCACCTCTGAGAAGCCTTCCTTATTCCCCCCCAGAGAGAGGTGATCTTTTTCTCTGTAAGTACTCTCAACACTGTTTTTGTTGCTTACATAGTACTTAAGAATTTCTTCTTGTATTTTTGAAGTTAGCATCCATGCCCTTCCCTCTGTCGGAAGGGAGATTTTCTGAGAGTGAGGAATTGAGAACAGTTCATTTTCGAAGCCCCCAGAGAGGTGCTTCTCAAACTACCTGTACTGAAGAACCAATTTCTAAAAATCATACTTACAATCCATAATGGACTAGTACTTTGGTAAAATACATTACAGATGAACTAGTGGGAAAATGACGAAACTCTTGAACGTCACGGCTCTATCTGATTGCTATAAACGTTTCGAAATGCTTGGTCTCACTTTCTGCACTCATTTCATTGTGCACAAGTAACAATAATTCAGAGACTGGCACTGGTCCACAGACCGCTCTTCGAGCGCCACTGCCCTGGCACAGTGGCTTTCACAATAAAAATCTATGAGAGGAGCAGTTCTCAAACGTGGGAGGGTGAAAGAACTGGGAGGGCTGGTTAAAAATGCAGACAGCTGGGTCCCACCCCTAGAATTGTTGATTTAGTAGGTATGTGGTAGGACCTGAGAATTTTTATTTCTAACAAGTTCTCAGGTGGTGTTATTGCTGCTGGTTGGGGACCACACTTTGAGAATCACTAGACAGGAACTAGTGGTAAAGAACCTGCCTGCCGATGCAGGAGATATAAGAGACATAGGTTTGATCCCTGGGTCGGGAAGATCCCCTAGAGGAGGGAATGGCAACCCATTCCAATATTCTTGCCTGGAGAATCCCATGGACGGAGGAGCCTGGCAGGTTATGGTCCATAGGGTCGCAAAGAGTCGGACACGAATGAAGCGATGTATGCACAGGCTAAAGGAAAAAACAAAAAGCCAAGTACAGTGCCCTCTCATGGTGGCCTCTCCTCATAACCAGTAGAGCCACTAAAGCTAAGGGCTAACTAACTTCACCAGCGCACCCCTCCAAAGCAATGGCTATTAGCTACCACATCATCACACACTTGCCAGTGGGCTCCGGATGTGAGGCAGCTGAGAGAGGCCAGAAGGGTCCATACCTTGGGGCTGTTCTGGGCCCAGTGCCTCCGCAGGTGGCTGTGCAGGTGATGCTGAAGAAGAATATCTGGGCAGCGTTGGAGGTGCCCGCACAGTGGAAGGCCCCAGGGATGGCCTGGGTGACGCAGATGCCTGGGGCGGTGGGGACTGGGGTGGAGATCCAGTCGGTTGTATCTGCTGTGATGGTGATACAGGTGACAGCCCAGGTGTTGAGCTGGGGAGTAAGTGCACAGCTGGGAGTGACGCAGGTGGCAAGTCAGCTGGAGAACGTGATGGTGATGAGGCTGCTGGCGATGTAGGTGATGAAACAGGTGACTCCACAGGCCAGTCACCTGTGGATTCGGGTGCCTGCAGGGGTGGGGACAGAGGTGGACTACGGCCACCCCTTTCATCCCCTTCGGGAGCCCACTGTGTATGAAGTTGTCTGGATTCTTCTGGACTGGCCGGCTCTCTTTGGAGGCTCAGCTGACAGCGTTCAGGACACTCGTTGCCAAGGGCGAGTTCTATCTGGCAGTACACTTCTACCCGGGGGAAAATCACTCTCTTGGAAGGAGAATTAAGATAAGCAGCATCTAGGAAAAACAACAGCATGGGGTCACAGGTGGCATTTCTAACCCCTGACATCAGCATGATGTTTGCAAAAAATGGTTTCCCAAATTATTTTCATAAACAGGATGAGTGCTTGTCATTGTTTTTGTTTTGCTTTTGCCTTGTGTCTAGAGGGATCTCATGTCACTGGCCAAGGATTGAACCCAGCCATGGTGGAGAAAGCCCAGAATGCTAACCCTGGGCCACCAGGGAACTCCTGGATTAGTGCTTTTCAACAGCCTTTCTTTACTTAGTTGAATTTATATTGAGTGATTGTGTATTGATAGAAGGCTGGGGTAGATTTAAACATTGCTGGTAAGGATCCAGTGGAGAGATGGAGGTTGCAGAGAGAGGGGGAATGATGAAAAATTGGAGAATTCTGAGACAGGAATGAGGTCTGAGCCCAGGTGGGTGGGTGAGCTCTAGACATATGATAAGAAGGGTCAGGGAAAGGTGAGTCTGTATATTCAGTGGCACAACGTCGAGAGAACTTCCCTCTGATGGCTTTGGTTTTGTCTGTGAAGTAGGAAGCCAGGTAGAGGAGAAGACTGGAGGTTGGGGCAGAAGGTTTGAGGTGGTAATTGCAGAGGATGAGAGAGTAAGTTGACAAGAAAAATATAATGTGATTGCTTTCAGGGTAGAAATTCACAAGCCATTTAAAAAATTCATATGAAAATACAAAGGACCTAGAATAACGAAAACAACTTTGAAAATAGAACAAAAGCTGAAGAACTAAGACTACGTGGTTTCAAGACTTATTATAAAGCTGTAGTGATCAAGACAGTACGGTACTGACTTAAAGATGGGTAAATCTATCAACAGAAGATAGATTCTTCTACAAAACAGAAGGCCCAGAAACAGACCCATGACATACATAGACAACTGATTTTAGTCCAAGATGCAAAGTTATTTCAATGGAGAAAGCAAAGTCTTTTCGACAAACAACGCTGGAATAATATATCTAAATAATGATATATCTAAATATGATATCATATAAATAATAATATGATATCTAATAATATGATACCCATTTTTTATAAAGAACTTAGATTTATATCTTGTCCCTTATAAAAAATTAACTTAAAAGATAGATCACAGACATAAATGAAAACCTAAAAGAATGAAAGAATGAAAGAAAGAATAAAAGAATGAAAAGCCTCTGGAAGAACGGTGGGGAGTGAGTGAAATGGGTGCAGGGGTCAAAAGGTACAAACATCCAGTTATAAAATAAATAAGTCACCGGATGGAATGTACAATCTGGTGACTAAAGTTAGTATTAACAATACTCTATCGAATATTTGAAAGTTGCTAAGAGAGTAGATCTTAAAAATTCCCATCACAAGAAAAAAAAAGGTTTTTTATAACTCTGTGTAGTGATGGAAGTAACTAGATTTTTTTCCCCCCATTTATTTTTATTAATTGGAGGTTAATTACTTTACAATATTGTAGTGGTTTTTGCCATATATTGACATGAATCAACCATGGATTTACATGTGTTCTGTATTCTGATCCCCCCTCCCGCCTCCCTCGTAACTAGACTTTTTGTGAGGGTCGTTTTGCAACATACACAAATTTTTAATCATCATCTGTACACCTGACATTAATACAATGCTCTGTGTCAATTATATCTCTAATTATATGTCAATTAAAAAATAAAAAGAAATATTGCTCTACTAGGGAAAAAAAGGACCAAGTCTTTTGGTGCAAGTGGAGTGACTCTTTGGAGGGCACATATCCTTTTTCACCTAATTATTAAAACACTGAATTTTTAATAAAATTGCAAAAATAGCTCTATTTAATTTGGGGGTCATTTTTTTTGTTTGTTTTGTTTTACAGACTGAACATTACCTTTTCCCCAGACTCCTTCCAGTCACTAATGTCTCTAAGAAATTAATTGCCTATACCTTTTTTTCTTACTGGTAAATGTTAATCTCCTTGTACACTGTAATTGCCTAAAATAATTGAACTGAGTTCACCGTGACTCAGTTATTTGGTTTTTAATAATAAAACCTTTGTATTTTAAAATATTAAAAATTCCCTAGAAGAAAACAAAGGAGAGAGATATTTTGTAATCTTGAATGAGGCTAAGATTTCTTAGATAAAGACACCAAAAGCATGATCCACAAAGAATAAAAATTAATATGGACCCTACTGAAATAAAAAATTTTCCTTTTCAGAAGACACTCTTAAGGAGTTGGGTAGAGAAATCATGGACTGGGAGAAAGTATTTGCAAATAGTATTTCTGAAAAAGTGCATTTATAGAGAACATATAAAAGCTCTTAATAAGAAAACAACCAATTCCATTTTGTAAATGGGCAAAGAGCCAATTGAAAGAGCTCCCAGTGGTCAAAACTGGAACAATTTGACTAACAAAATAAATAAAGTAGGACTGAATAATAATTCACAGTAAAAAATAAGTACTCAAGAGTCCATATTGATATAAATAGACAACTGAATAGGTAAGTCAATGGGGAAGAAAGAGACAAATCTCTCATGCAGAATTCCCAATAATTTCAGTGGATACTTCAGCCCTGAAAGAAGTGGAAAATAATCTACTCCTTGCATGTGGGCTTTGCATAGTGACTTCCTTCCAAAGAGTACGGTATGAAAAGGAGAAAGAGTAACTTTAGAGTGGAAACACCAGAAATATGACCTCAGCCAGGTGACCAGGACCAATGTCATCAGTGATACATCACGGAGGCAGCACGTATCCTCGATACAATGTGATGAGAAAGGCACTTTGCATCAATTGTCTTCCTCCCCCAAATCCACAACCCCAGTCTAATCATGAGAAAAAACATCAAGCAAACCCCAACTGAGGGACATCCTACAAAATATCTGGCTAGTAGTTCATTAAAAGGGCTTCTCTGGTAGCTCAGCTGGTAAAGAATCCGCTTGCCATGCAGGAGACCCTGATTCAATTTCTGGGTCAGGAAGATCCGCTGGAGAAGGGATAGGCTACCCACTCCAGTATTCTTGGGTTTCTCTGGTAGCTCAGACAGTAAAGAATCCGCCTGCAATGCAGGAGACCTGGTTTCAAACCCTGGGTTGGGAAGATCCCCTGGAGGAAGGCATGGACACCCACTCCAGTGTTCTTGTGTGGAGAATCCGCGTGGACAGAGGAGCCTGGCGGGCTACAGTCCATGGGGTTGCAAAGTGTCAGACACGACTGAGCGACTAAGTACAGCACAGTTCAGTTCAGTCGCTCACTCATGTCCGACTCTCATGTCCGTGCCCCATGGACTGCAGCACGCCAGGCCTCCCTGTCCATCACCAACTCCCGGAGCTTACTCAAACCATGTCCACTCAGTCAGTGATGCCATCCAACTGTCATCCCCTTCTCCTCTTGCCTTCAATTTTTCCCAGCATCAGGGTCTTTTCAAATGAGTCAGTGCTTTGCATCAGATGGCCAAAGTACACAGGTCATTAAAAACAAGGAGAGTCTGAGCGACTGTGACAGACAAGAGGAGCCTGAGGAGACGGCACAGCTAGATGTGACTTGGGATCCTGGATGGGATACTGGGTCAGAAAAAGGACATTAGGTAAAAACTAAGGAAGTCTGAATAAAGAATGGGCTTCAGTTAGTAACAGTTTATCAATATTGGTTCATTAATTATAAACAATACACCATAGTACATACCAAATGATTTATGTACTATGCTATAGTATCTAACAAGTGTGAGACATAAAATAATAGGGAAACCTAAATGTGGGGTATATGGAAACTCTCTGTACTATTTTCATATTTTTCCTGTAAATCTAAAACAATTCAAAAAAATAAAGCTTAACCATTAAAGGTATAGGGGGAAATTGGGCAAAAGAGTTGAACAGACACTTCACCAATACTTGAACAACTAATTAGCAAATGAAAAGATGTTCAATATTATTAGTCATTAAGGAAATGCCGATTAAAATCACAATAAGATACCACAACACACCTATTAGAATGGCTAATATTAAAAAGACTGACCAGGGAACTTCCAGTGGCTGGGAATCCAGTGGCTCAGATTCCACACTCCCAATGCAGGGGGCCCAAGTTCAACCTGTGGTCAGGGAGCTAGATCCCACATACCACAGCTGAGTTCAAATGCCGCAACTAAGAGATTCTACATGCTGCAACTAAGATCCAGTGCAGCCAAATAAATATTTTTTTTAAAAACACAAAAAATAAAAGAGATTGACCATACCAAGTGTTGGTGAGAATGTGGAGAAACTGGAATCCTCATACATAGTTGGGAATGTAAAACGATACAATCACTTTGGAAGATAATTTGCCAACTTCTTAAAAAGTCGAACATACATTCTAGGTATGTGTCTTAGTCTATACATATCTAAAAGAATTGAAAACAGGATCTCGAAGAGATATCTGCACACCCATGTTCCTTGCAGTATTATTTATAATAGCCAAGAGGTGGAAGCAACCCAAATGTCCATTGATAAATGAATAGATAAAAGAAAATTTGGTCTATATTCATGGTCTATATTATCCGGCCTTAAGGAAGGAAATCCTGTCACATGCTACAACATGCCTGAATCTTGAGGACATTATACATGAAATAAACCAGTCACAAAAAGACAAATACTATTACAATTCCACTGACATGAGGTATCTAAAGTATTCAAACTCATAGAAATAGAATGGTGATTGTCAGGGCCTAGGGGCAGGGGGAAATGGGGAGTTGGTTAATGGGGATAGACTTAGTTTTTCAAGATGGAAAAGTTCAGGAGATTGGTTGTACAGCAATGTATGTTTAACACTACTGAATTGTACATTTATACCGGTTAAGATGATACATTTTATGTTATGTGTGTTTTACTACTATTTTATACATTATATTTTATATTAAAATAGTATATATTATACACATATTTGCATACATACATTATATATTAAACATACCTCCACCATATGATCTGGTCATTCCACTCCTTTGTATTTACCCAAGAGAAATAAAAGTTTTTGTCTATACAGAAACTCAAGCA